AACTAAATACTATGTCCATAAACTATAACAAAAACTAGTATCCCCAAATAGTAATTTTTATCCAGTTTTTTTAAAAGTAACAAATATCAAGCATTTGTTTTACAATTTCTCTCTCAAAACTCATATGCTCAAGTGTTTTCAAGTTCATCAAATTTAAGCTACTCTTTGCAATACTAAACACATGCACAAATAAAATACTGTATTTTCATTTTAAGTTGACTCTGTGTAGTTTAATACTAGATTTCTTCACTATCTAAGATCCTCTTATAAGCCTTAAAGAAAATAAGGTATTTTTTTCTTTTTAATTATATGTATGGTGGTTGTGCATGTAGTGCAGGTGCCCAAGAAGGCCAAGGACATTGGATATCCTAGAACTGGAGTTACAGGTGTTGCAGCCGCATGATATAGGTGCTGGAAAACCAACTTGGGTCCTATGAAAGAGCAGTATGTACTCTAACCACTGAGAAATCTCTCTCCAGCCCACAAGCAAGCTATTTCTACACCTCCATTGCATACAATCTATGGTTATAAACAAGGCCTCCATGCAAATGATTTAACTATGTATGCCCCATCTACAGGCACTACTTTTATCTAATCCCATAAGCAACATAAAGCAATGAGTCTTTCTTGTAAGACCAGGCCAACAGGAATCATCTGCCTTATACTAAAAATGGCCATAAATTTTTTTGTTCTAGCAAAAGATAGTCATTTTTTCACCTTCTGAATCTGTCTGGCTCTCTAAGTTCCTCTGAACATCATAATGTGGCCTTGCAGCTTCCATGATGTCATATAAAAGGAAAGGATGCTGGGATAGATGCCACAAACACACAGCAAACTCTGCTAACAGTCCTACTCAGCCTACGATGCCCTTCAACTTAGGCAGCTGAATCCTGTGATGCCAAGCCTGTGCTTTCAATGCTAATCAAGCTGACAACCTCTGACACTAAGTGATGGACACCTACAGGCTGACTATACTGCTCTTCATCACAAAACTTATTTAAAAGAGGCACACACAGCTCTAAGAATATGTTGAAAAGCCAGGTGGTGGTGGCAAATGTCTTTAATCCCAGCACTCGGGAGGCAGAGGCAGGTGGATATCTGTTAGTTCGAGGCCAGCCTGGTCTACAAGAGCTAGTTCCAGGACAGGCTCCAAAGCTACAGAGAAACCCTGTCTCGAAAAAGAAAAAAAAAATGTTGAGAAAACCAGCTTTCTGCCTGATAAAAAGATACCGTGTGACTGGGCATGGTAGCACCTGTCTAGAATTCCAGTACTCTAGGAAGCTGAGGCAGGAGGACTGCCACAAATTCCAGGACAGTCTGGGACATAATGGAAGATAAGACCCAGACAAACAAATAAGATGGCATGGACATAAAACATTCACAAATGTGTATGGAATAGTTAAGATTTTTATTCTTTTGCCTTATTTATGCAACATCGCTAACTTTCCAAAAAGACAGAGTATCTACTCTTAGTTGAGTGAAAGGCTGAACACACACGGCGGCTCTGCAAAGTCAGGTGGCAGCATACCTGCCTGAAAGAAAGCTGCAGGTTCTTAGTGTAACTGCTCCAGGCTGCAAATGACAGAACTCAAATGCTGTACAAGAATGTAAGAAAAAGGGCTGGAGAGATGGCTCAGGGGTTAAGAGCACTGGCTGCTCTTCCAAAGGTCCTGAGTTCAATTCCCAGCAACCACATGGTGGCTCACAACCATCTGTACTGAGATCTGGCGCCCTCCTCTGGCGTGCAGGCATACATCGAGGCAGAATGTTGTATACGTAATAAATAAATAAATCTTTAAAAAAAAAAAAAGAATGTAAGAACAAAAGATGCAAATAATCCCCACCAGCTGCAAGTGGACCAAATAGTAGACCTCACATTCATATTCAAGGAGAAAATAAGTCTGTGGCATCTTACGTTCCTGTGTGAAGTAAAAATGATAGACAAAAAAGGCTTTGGGCTTGTTTGTTTGCATTTAGTTTTAAGACAGGATTTCCCTGTGTTGGCCTAGTTGTTCTAGAACTCACTCTGTAGACCAAGCTGGCCTCGAACTCAAAGAGATCTGTCTGCCTCTGCCTCTGCCTCCCAAGTGCTGGATTAAAGGCTTGCACGACAATCACATGGCTAAAAAGTTGTATTATTTTAAAAAATTTTAAAAGAAGAAAAATTTTGGCCAAACTGAAAACCACTATTAGTATTAACAGAATTCTATATGGTTCTTATCCTCTAGATTCAAATATTTCCTTTTTTAGTTGCTCTTAACTGAACAAATACTATTAATTTCTTAGTCCATCAGAGTCCTGGAATTTAGTTTTCTCAGTCAGTCCTAAAATGGCCCCAGGCTTCACTTCTATTTTTCTACAAATATTTTTACTTCTTGTCCAACATTTTTAAAAAGAGTATTTTAAAGCCTAATTTGTATTCTTTTTGTCTCTAAGTAAAAGAACCCTTTTAAATTACACATCAACACCACTAGCAAGAGTTGCATCTTTCAAGTCATTTACTTTGCTCTTCCTCTTACATTATCAGATATCCATGTAGATGAGGGCATAGCTACCTAAACGGCACTTTAGACTGGCTAATGCCAAGAGTCAAAGAAGTAAAAGCAATTAGCTTTTAAAAATTGTACCTAAAGCATGTTTAAGAAGGCTCCAGATGCTGGGCGGTGGTGGCACAAGCCTTTAATCCCAGCACTTGGGAGGCAGAGGCAGGTGGATCTCTTTGAGTTTGAGGCCAGCCTGGTTGGTCTGCAAGAGTTAGTTCCAGGACAGGCTCCAAAGCTACAGAGAAACCCTGTCTTGAAAAACCAACAACAACAAAAAAGAATGGTTCTGGTCTCTGAACTTCCTCTATTTGTTCCATACGCCAGCAAATCGTCAAAAAAGAAAAGAAAATTTGCCCTGATTTCTCTGTTTAGTGTCCTACTAGGGCTGAGTCTGTTAGGTTGGAAAGATCAGCTCAGTCTTGCCAGTGGCAGGAAGGTCTTCTCTGCCTGAAGGTGTGAGAGGTAATGACAGTACAAGATTACCACAATCTCTGAATTCCTACTGCCTGACTTTGGTAACAAAGTGGACACTTCCTTTTCAATTTCTGAGCATATTAAATGAGTTCAGAATGCACTGGTCATTTAGATTCTAGCAGCATTATATTATATATAGGCAAATAAAATACTATTTCCTAAGTCCTGTCAGAAGTGATTCAGAGCAGAAAAAAATTTAATGAGGGAAAAAGAATTGTAATCTTTAACATATAAACAAGGTATAATAAACTTTAAACTACTGTATAGGCAAATGTGCCAGTCTTCTGTTGTTTAGAGGGCTTTAGCACACTGAACTGAGACGGAGGGTATAGGAGCCTGCTCTGACCTAAGTGTTGGGACTCCACCTGTCACTACTCTCCAGATTCGTACACTGCACATTGCAGTGCGATTTGTAAAGAAAATCGTGTAGATGAAACATGTACAAATTCCACCTTCACTTATTCAATATTCATTAATGAACTATTCTGTGCCAAACACAGAAGGAAAGACTGAGTGGACAGCAAGATGAAAACATGTCCATCGTCCTCAAGAATTCTCCACCAGAAGAAGGATTTTACCAAGCAGGATTTCAATTCCAGGTTCATGCATGCTGGAGTCTGTTCTAAGTGAATGCATCCTCTTCTTATTTCTGAACCCCTTACCAAAACCAAGATGCACATGTCCATGGAATGAAATTGCCTCTAAGGGTTACTCATAAATATGTCACTTTGGCCAAATCTACAAAAGAAAAGCTTTCTCTGGCCAAGGGCTTGCACATACTTCGCATTTTAAGCTGAAATGAATGTACAGTGCAAAGTGAACGGTCCATTATGGAAATGTTGACAGACCTACACCACCAGTGGATGCAATTACAACGCTGCATTTATTGAAAATTAATGAAGTCCTGGATTTTTATTTATAAAGTGGGTATTATTAGTTTTAGATTGGTTTCCACAAGCCAATAGTCCAAATTGAATAAGATGATGGGTACAGATTGCACCAATCTTCACTCTTATCCACTGCTTGCAGCCTATGTGCATTTAAACCAAAAACATTTGATATACACTAACTATAAATTATTTCCTTGGAAATCTCTCAGGCATGAAGAAAACGCCTTTTAAAATAAATTTAAAATATTATATGCTTGATGGTGTATAACCGAAGGTTTAATCTCACCACTAAAGGGGCAGTTACGATGATTTTGCAATAACCCTGCAGACAATAATCAAGACAGCTCCTGTTGTTCTCTCAGTAAAATCTTCGTAAACACAGCATGGATAGACTGTAATTTGATATCTGTAAGATCAACAGCCATACCTCATGACAACTCCTAATATAAGATTTTATTCACCATTAAATTGAGCGTTTTCCTCAGAAGCAATAGAACAGAAAGCACATTATTTACCAGGCATTGTCCTATTAACTATAGATTAGCACATCAAAACAGACATGCTTTCTCTCTAAAAAAAGTGCAAGCAGGCTCTAAAATGCAGATTAATTTGCTTTATCAAACTTGAGAAAAATCTATCTGTGTCCTATTTCCAATATTATTTTTTCCAATATTATTTTTAAACAACTGATTCCAATTATTTTCTACTACAAACATTAAGAAATATCCCCAAAACAAAGTTAAGTCCAAAAACAAATGTCTCGGTTTCTACTTCAAAATGAGATTAATATTATTCAATTTTTGTAAATGAAAAGGAGGGATTAGAATCCAACACAGATGCTGACAAAATTTTAGAAAATTGGTACATATGTAACTCTGAGAAGGGTTAAAGACAATGTAAATTAGTATCAAAGATATTCAAAATGGAGATCACTATAATTCAATTACTGCTCTCTTGCTCTCTCCTACACAGCATGCACAGAAACACACACATGCACACACTCACACATATACCCCGGTGCATATCGTTATTTAAATACAAGTAGGGACTCCCTCTGTATTTCAGAATTATAATAAAAGCATCTTTCACTCACCAATGCTGGATTTTCTCTTGGCAGTTAGTGACCACCTGTCATGAAAACAGACAACTACTCATGAAAAAAAACAGGGCTAGGCATAGAGACAGAAAATCAGCATCAGAAAACTACAGCAGTGTCTTTACAGATTTGCTAACACCTCAGTGGACATTTTTATTTGTCAAAGGTACAAAGATGGGTATGTTAGTTTTTAAGCAATGCACTTTATCACAGCCCTCTAACGCAGGCTGATAACTGCAGAACAAATTACAGCTTTCCAATTCAGACTTTGGTACAAAACCTGCTTCATAACTATTAGGTGACATATGATATAAGATAACTAGCATTTTGTACAATCTACAGACCATTTTCAATGTTACATATTTTCTAGAATACACAAATATTATAAACAACAAGAAACTAACGTAACATCCACATTTCAGCAGGAAAAAAATGACAGTAGTGAAAATATTTTATTTTGTCAGCATATCTCCAAATGTTTCCACCTGTGATTTTTAGTCTGATGTATTAAAAATGAATTCTTTTTTCCACTGTTTTCAAGAAGAAATACTTGGGATAAAGGGATGCTCTGAACAGCTCATTCCCCCCACACTGAATTGTGATAAAATGGTATGCACTTGACACCCAATTTAAGCTGTTTATAATATTAAAAGAATGGTATTACGCATAAAAGTTATGCTTCCCTTTAAGATATTTCAGTAGATTCTCAAATACTAAGAAAATAAAAATAACAATCATCACAGGAAAAATGCAGTCAGAAAAAATTACAGTTAAGCAGAAATTTTAAAATTAATACTATTTTCACAAACTGCTAATCACCTATTTTTGAGTTCCCATCCATAAAAACTGTCAAATATTAGTCTAGAGTGCTAGAGCACCATTTTAAAGACAGGGCAACTAAGGCACAAAAAGGAGGCCACATGAGGAAGACAGCAGCATGCCCTAGTTTTAGTTCCAGGTTCCCAGATCAATCCTATTTCTTGATTATGCAAAATGTGTCACACACACCCCAAAAATCACATTTCTTTTAGTGCTGTCACTAAATTCCTCTATTCTAACATTTAATTCAAAAAAACAAAAAACAAAACAAAAAAACAACCTGTCCTCCCTTTTGGACATTTTAAATAGTAAGGCAGCAATCCCGACCCAAAATACATGCTGTAATCAGATACTCGGCCATACTGCACATTAACTCAGCATAAAAAGTCCCCACAGAATGAAGATCTGCAGTAAGTATCAATCACACAGCAACACTTAATAACAGTGGTAATATATAATAGAGCACTGACTTAACATCTGTAAGAGTCTACTAAAGTCACATCAGTCCATATCACTGTTTCTGACTTGGCAGGAATTATAAAAGACAAACAGAATTAGATATAAATTGAAAAAGAAAAAAACAAATCTTTGCAAAAAGAAAATTTATGAAGTTTCTATTTAAGAACCCCATTAAGATGAGACCCAAAAACAGTCGGGATGTTTCCAGTCCTAGCAGGAGTGTTTCCAAGCATGAAGTGAGCCAAAAGCACAGAAAGAAAAGCCCTGCAACCCGTAAGAACAGAGTGTTCATTAACCTCTACATGATAATCCTTTCGTAGCTGCATATTAACTAGTTACATATTCATAATCATTTACATTATTTAAAGAACCTTCGATGAAATTTTCTAGGCTATATCCATTAGTAATGGTGTTAAAGGTCATGGAAGATAGTCTACTTAATGTTTCCAGGAAGCCTTTTTAATTAGTAAATATGTAAATTTGGCACACACGCTTTTCATGTTTAAAAACAAGTCACTAGTAGCATGGCATGTGTTCTTGCCATCAGGCACACAGCTCTTCTGCCTGGTTCTAGTCACCCTTCCTCACTCCCCACCCCTTTTCTTTCCTAAAATAGTCCCCCTAAGCAGACATTCAAAGACAGACCAGCAACAAAACTACTGTACAAGCCACATTCTCACTACCAAAATACTGCTTTACGTATGCAATCTTCCTGGGTTTCACACAGCATTCACAACATCACACACAGTGGACAAACATATACAACAGAAGCAGGACCCTGGAAATTAGAGGAAACTATTTCCAAAGAGGCAGATATGGAAATGCATGGAATAGTGGGTAACGAGTTTCCTGTGACCGAAAGCATAATTATATATGTACACACACACATATCATCGAAAAACTATTTTTCGAGACTTTTTTTTAATATAACTGCCAAGGGGAAAAAATTCTAAAAAAAGACAAAATCCAGATTCAAAGCACCTGAGTTGTAAAATCTGACTTTTCTGTGAAGTTAATACCAATTTATGTAATTTCTTCTGCCATGCTAACTTCTTAAACTATTAAATGATGATAGTAAGACAGGGGTCTGATTCTACAGGCAAGTCTCTAAAAATAAGCAAAACAACAAAAGAAAGGTCAATATAGGTAAACTGATGCCAACTTTGTTTTGTTTTTTTTTTTAAAAAAAAAATATTATGCCTGAAAAGTCTCTGTAATGCTTTATAAAAATAGTTACTTAGCAGGCTTGTATTACTAAAATAATTAACCTAGGAAATTCAATATAATAACTAAACATTTATAAATATATGTTAACACAGTAATATAGCAGTAAGGTCACAGTAAAGAAAAGGGGCCCTTACCTGACAAAGCCCTGTTTAAACTATCATTAACAACCCTGTGAATATACACTCATCTGTGTACGTTTAGGTACAGACCTAAGACTTCATATGACAGTCCATTCAAACACTTCAATGACACAGATCTTAATCTCTTTGAAAGGAAAGGAAGCATGCTTTCTGAGATGTAATAACATGTCCCAGAAGGGGCCACATGAAATCCGTTCTAAACCACAACTCTCTGACCCCAAGTGCACAAGGCCTTGGACAAGTCTGCCTCCAACCTGGAAAAGTGTAACGGTGGCAGGAACAGCTGCTTCATGCTTCATCTGCGGTTACTGCTGCCACTTCTCCATGTCCTCAACACAGCACCCACATGTTCTGTTACAAAGGGTCAAAATCATGCCTGACACACTGTATACTGTAAAAAAAATAAAAATAAAAAATAAAGACAAAAAACTAACAGCTTGTTGTTCTCCTTAGAAATTGATCTTTAAACATTACTTTATAAAGGAATGAGAAGGGAGGGTTTAACATGCGGTGAGCTCTCTTGTGCTTATTTGTTTATGCTATTTATTTTGATAACGGACCACAAGGGGGCATCAACCCATTCGATCTCCAAGTGCAGCACAGCTGCAGGGCAAAGCTGGACTGATGCAGAGAACCCGCAATGTTATGTGCACTTCTAACCTCTGATCCTCTCTCAGGAAGGCTTCGCTTCACTTCTAAAACTGCTTGCCCTACCTGCAACCTCAGATTCTTCCTGCATAGGTTACTGTATCAAGATCAGTTTGGAAGCAGCTCTGCAGGCTGTCCAAATTCATTAGGTCAGTTTCTCTTGCTGGACTTCAGTTTCAAGACACATCTTCCCATTAGGTTGTTTAACTGCTCACTGCACTGGAGCCAGAGGATGCTAGGCAAGCATGGTCACTTGAGCGCATCCTAAAGGATGAAAGAACCTTTTCTAAAATGGCAGGCTGTCAACTAAGGAGAGAGCTATGTATCCCTACAACAAAGAACTGCATAAAGGAAGTGTACTTTCAACAAAATCAGTAACAATTACAACTTTGCTGTGCTGGTAACACAAAGCCTGCAATCCCAGTACTCAGGAGGCTGAGACAGGGGCAATGAAAGTTTCTGGCCAGCCTGGGCTAACATAGCAAGACTTTGTTTGTAAAAACAAAGATTCAGAAAATTACTCATCTTTTAAATACAAGTGAGTCAGGATGTAGTAAGCAATAGAGTAAAGAGCAATAGACTGAGGGTTGCTGTAGTAAAACCAGCATGGGGGACAAAAAAACAATTCAACTTTGGACAACTTTATAGTTGACATACACCCAAGATGAAACTACCACCAACTCTCTAAATGCTGTTACACCACAGCACTTCTTAAAACACTTAAAATGTTACTTAAAAGTGTTAGCTTTCCTCGATTCTCTAATGCAGGACTGGGAGATATTCTTCCAGTACTCACCCACTCCCCTCACCTCTCCTGCCTGGTGCCTGTCTTGATACCTTGTTTGTCTTCCTTACAGCTTAGGGCTCTTTTCCCTTTTATGATTTATCTCTCACAATCCCAAGTACTCTGGTAACACACACCTTTCTCATACTGGAAACTGTGGGAATGTTTACATTTACAATCAGTAGCACTTCTAAGAATGAAGGCACTGTCATGTTCCTGGGATTATTGAAATCCACAAACCAAAAGTTTCAGGAACAGGTTTTATTCACACTTAGAGCTTAGTGTGTTTTAGAGCACACAGATTTAACTTGGTAGAATGCTTGCCTAGTATAAATGGAACCCAAGATGCAATCCCCAACCCAATGATGGGGGCATACACACCCATAATCCCAGCACTGTGAAAAAGAAAATAAGTTTAAGGTCTTCCTCAGCTATAACTAATCTTCCAATCATAATGCCTTGTCTCCAAATAAGAAAAGAATCTGTTACTGAATGTCCCCTGTAAATATAACATGTGCAATGAAACCTGAGTATTGCATAGCCCATTACAACAATGTGTGGCCATTTTACAGACCTAAGATAACTCTGTTCTCAGTGCTTTGCAAGTTTTATAACTACAATGGGGCTGAACTGTACTTCTGGATCTGAGGGCTGCCTGGACAGCTTGTATGCCTATTACTTGACGGAATATCCATCATTCCATGTCCATTTGCATACCTTTCTATAAAAAGCTACTGTTTCTACTAAAACAAAAAACAACAACAACAACAAAAAAAAAAAAAAACAGGCCCTTACAGAACTACTTTTGAGCATATATAGCCCCAGAATGGAGAAGGCCCATGCCTGCTGCTACCCAAACCAATTGATCCAGTTCAGATGTGAGAACCAAAGTAATTAGAAGGGGTGAGGCATTCCACAACCAGCAGACATCTGAAACTGCAGGTAACAAAGTAAA